TGTGGGAGCATGGGTGACGCTGGCTTGCGGGCGGAGCCTTGTACAGGATCTTACAGCTAACCATAAAGAGAGTTTGAATAGGGCCCATGAGAATCGCTAGATTACTGAAACATGCATGGATGAAAACCTCTTCAGGCATCTCGTTGATGTTTTCATGTTATAAGGTGGTAGAAAACTCCAAAAAAGTTGATTTTGCAGAATACCCCCTCTTTAAGACAATATACTGTACCCTCACCTCTACACTGAGTGTGTACCTATATGGTCTGGCAATGGATTTCAACGATTGAAAATGAAATCTTAAAAATAGAGCTATATGTTGTCAAAGTGACCACTGGTGAAGCATTAGCCTTATTATGAACTTGTAAATGATGTGTTTTAGGCACTGGCTGTACACAGGTTTTCTACAGTCACTGCTAAAGTAATACTGATATTTGGTTGTGTTAAAATACATGTGCATGTTTCTTCTATGAACGATATATTGAAAGAAGACACTGGAAGATCTGAATGCTGGCACATAGGAAGCCCATTATCACAGATGGTTTTTGACAAAGTTTTGTGTTTTTATTTCAAACACTTGCTTTTATTCACTGCAAAAACTGAAAAGTCTCAGTTTTTGAATTCAGAATTAATAGATTTGAGTAGTTAATTCTGAAAGTATAAGTTGTTGGCTCATATTTCAATGTATTAAAGGAGCTGTACTGTGAAAATCAGGAACTAGTTCATTTGAAATGGTCCAAAGTTATTCTTCACTTAACTTATGTATTCAGAGCATAAGCTAACAACAACTAGCATGTTAACAATGCACCTCCTGATTCTGGGACAGTAAAACACGTTATTATTAGATGCAGAGAGTACACAGCTGACCCATTTTAACCTCAAGAGCTGCTTATACAGTATATCTGGAGTGGGGCAAGACACATTTAGTTCAAATACATATGGAAAAAGGACCTTTAAATATTATTAGCCCGTTAACTTACTTCCGTTTTTGTATTGTAAGTGCAGTTTTCTCTTTCTACCTGCTGAATATTTTGCTTGAAACTATAAAATATAATTAATGCCAAAACATTGAGGTGTAATAATTATGCTTCTGTGATGGTAAGCCAATAGCCACAGCTGCCCGTGGGTAGAAGTGAAGCTTCCAATCTGTGCCATTTCTGACCACCACCAATCATTCAAATACAAACTACATTCATACAGAGGCAAGGTGGGTGAAGTGTCTTGCCCAAGGACACAACAACATCATGCAGTGAAGATTGGTTGGTGGAAAAATGATCTAACCACCAAGCCACTATCTCCTCAAAGATAGTTTAGGTCTAATAATTCAAAATGAATAAAAACTACTTAAATCTAAAACAAAATTCTGAATTCAAATCATTTTAAAGCTGCATTGTGCAACTTTTCTGGCAGAGGTCTGTCACTTGCCTGTCTATGGAGATGTTGTTGCTTTGCCATTTAAGTTATTGCATTTATTCATTTACAGATCTTTGTTATATTGCAAGGTCACCACTCCACAGATAACTTTACCTGTTTGTGTCATCTGCTTGACTTCATAAAGATGGATACTTTTAATGGCATACTGTGGAATATTTCTGGAAAAGCAATAACATCTCCATGGAGTTCCATACTGCAGCTTGAACTCCTGTAGATTTCTGTTTTTGCAGTGTGTTCAGTGCTAAACAGACTGGTGCCTTGATTATTGGACAGAGTATTGGGCCTTTTGAGATTTTAGGCCTAAACTTTAGTGTCATGCTGTGCGTGAAACACTGTCTAAGCAGAGCCACACGGGGGCGCTGCAGAGCTACACTTGAAACTATCAAAGTGATGATTTTGAGATGTATTACTGTTTTTATATTTATTGGATGAGTTTGTCTTGTCCAATACTTTTTAATGCATTTTGTATTGTGATCATTCAGCCTGTATTTAGGCTCGCCTTGTCTAAGTAGATGTTCATTTGTGCCTAAAATGTTCTCCTCCCTTTCATCTCTGCAGTGGTGGAAAGAAGCAGAGTACTAAAGTAAAAGTATTGTACTTATATTATTAGGTATCTGTACTTTACTCTAAGTCAAGTTTACAGTGGGAAATGGGTCATCAAAGAGTCAAAATCAGATACTAAATCTAGAACTGAAACTCCCGTTGTGTTTTCATCGCCTAAAATAGTTGAGGGGGGAATTCTGAGGCAGATTTAAGATCACTTGATTTAATTATTTCATAGTTCACAGAATAAAGGTTAAATATTACTTTTTTAGTCCAAAAAGTAGGCTGCATTTACACAGGTACTTCAATACTTTTACTTAAAGGCATACTATGTAACCTGTCTAATAGAGGGTCCGCCGATAACTTTGCCTGGAATGTTCCACAGTATGGGAGTAAAACATTTGTCTTCCTTTTATTCTGCTGTTTTCATTGCTAAAAGATCATAAATACACGCTCTTCTTACTGTGAGTGGGGTTGCCGCTCCACAGATCTGACCTTTAACTTGGCCTGAGTGCATCACCAGCTTGTCTCCATGGAGGTTGAGAAGTTTAATGCGGTACTGTGGAACATTCCAGGCAAAGCAATAACATCTCCACGATTACTTATTCCACCACTGCATCCTTGTCACATGCAGGTTTCTGGTGCATGTCCCTCTCTCCACCTTCTGTCTGTTGGCACACTTTTGCATGTTAAAGGTGAAAGATAAGTACATATGTTCCTGTTGTGATGAATGACCAAATACTCGGCAGCAACAATGTAAAGTCTATCTGAATCCAACTCCTTTCTATCTGATCTAACCAAATGAAAATAAGAAAAAATGTTACTCAAAAATGTTTTTCAAAAATAAAAAAAATAGGATCTTACATTTTAACCTGTTTTTGTAGTACTTATTTAAACAGAAAAACTGCAGAACTATGTCACTTTTTGGTATGGGTTTGCCACGTGCTAGGCCCTTTAGGAATATTACTGATTTGCCTACAATGTTCCTTACTGGCGTTACATTTATATATTTCGAGGTGGTTAACTGTCACAAAAATCTTAATAAATAGCATTCATTCTTATTGTGAGTGGGGTCGCCTCTCCATATATCTGACCTGCAACTACCTCACCAGCTTGTCTCTATGGAGATAGATCAGTTTACTGCTACACTGTGGAATGTTCCAAGCAAATAATTTGTAGACAAGGAAACAAATGTGTAAACATAAAAAAATGTTACATAGTTACATAGTTATATAGTTACATATTTAAATTTTATTCATTTATTTTTATTTACTTATATAAAACGATTAGGTAGAATAGGGACTATGGATATAAATAGATGTATTACAGGTCACATAGTTTACATAACCCGTGTTCATTCGTGTAGTTTTCATGGATCTTACTAGACTTCCATGGTAGCTTCGAGGCTTCAGGCGGCCATTTTACGTGCAGCGGGGAGGGCGCATCTCATTTCTTTGCATTTCAGTTCACTTGCCTCCTCTGTAAAGCCTCGACTCCTCGTTTCCTTAGCTATCAATCACGGCCACTGAGAAGAGATAGCCAGTAGGAAACTAGCTGCCTCTCTTCTCATTGGTTTTCTCGTCTATGGGCGGGATTTACTCCTTAGGAGTCGAGTGAACAGAAATGAGATGCGCCGTTACTCTATGACACAATCACGGGAAACTACAGCGATAAACAATATTAAAGTTGGTAAGAAAGAATCAGCTAGAATAAAATAATCATTAAACTTCGTTAAAAGGTAATGTTTTTATAATTTTCTACTTTCTTTCTTGGCGTTTCCTTAGTGACAGGGTAGTAGTAAAAACTCTAGAGTGTACTGTTCATTCCAATGCCTTTTTGACAGTGACAGTTATATTTATGGGTAACCTACTACAGTAACACATTTTTCTATTTTGGTGACAGTACCTGAGCCTTTTCGAGCTCGAAGCAGAGACTGGGCCCCATATCCTCTGAGCTATACAATTAATTCTCACAAGTTTTTTTTTTTTTTTTCTTCAAGGAATTAACTTGAGGGCCTGCAAAGTTAATTTACAATTTGGGCCACTCTTTCTCTTCTCAATGGCGACTCATTCATTCACTCATACAGGCACACAACACATACACTTACATAGGAGAGTGTCTTGCACAGGGACACAAAAACAGTGATCCTAGTTGGCATAGAGAAGATAATCTTTGGGTGCATGTTCAAATCACCACATGCAAATCGTCACTGCTTAAATGTCTTGCTTAAGGTTCAAATATTGCACAAAAACAGACAGTATAATTAAACACAAAAGTCTAGAAGTATCTCTATAGAGATATTTGTAACTTATATTTAACCTATATTTAAACACAAAGGTCTAGAAGTATCTCTCTATAGCGGGGTGGGCAATTATTTTTTTCATGGGGCCACATGAGAAACAGAAAATATTGTGTAGGGCCATAACAAAATGCTTTACACAATTCTGCATAATATTAATTGTATTTCTTTATAAAAAAAAAAAAAAAACAGTAAATAACATTGGTTTGACAAGCTGGTCAGACTGGTAAGAGTTTATGTCATGACTTAGCAATGAGGCTGCCTTACAGATAATGTAATAAAAAAAAACAAAAAAAACTTTAAAATAAAAACAATGCAGCTTTAGTCCATGCATGAGGTAAAATGATAAATTATGTTTATTTTGTAATTCCAAAGTATCTTAAATGGCCAGTCAGAGTCAAACAAAGGGCCATATGTGGCCCGGAAGCTGTACAATGCCCAGGTCTGCTCTATAGAGTTATTTGTAACTTTGTAACTGTGTATTTAAACACAAAATCTTGAAGTATCTCTGTAGAGAGTTATTTGTAGATTACACCGCAAGTTACTTTTATTTTATTTTATTTAGTATATCTCCAAAACTATTATTAATTTTATATTATATTTCCTAAAACTAAATTATACAATCCACAAGATACCTTACATGGTTACAGATGTCAATTACACTAAATAGAAATAGGAGGAAAAAGGTGCAGCAATACACAAAAATTGGCCTTTTGTTACCGTCACAAGATGGCCGCCACATGTGACGCATGCCCAGAGTTTCCTCTAATGTTTTATGTTTCGTTTTGTGGACTGACTGACACGTCCCTCTCACCAAAACACTAAAGCAGGAAGAACAAAGCTCGGCCTACGCCTCTTTCCTCTGGACACACACCAGGCGGATGGTAAGTTTAACCCTCTGAACATTTGAACGCTTTCAGAATTTACATCTCTTTCAAAATGTGTTTAAAATAAGAGTTTTTTCTGACGTGAAACCACCGCCTCGTCGAAGCTAACGCTGCTAGCGCTAGCCTGCAGTTGTGCAAACACGGATCTAAATGCTTTCTGCGTCACTGTTTAAGTTCTATTTTTTACTAGATCGTTTTCCATATAAGTAATTAAGCTCTGGGTTCGATATTAAATTGAGATAGTTCATTTAAAACGTTTAGATTTAAGTTTTTAGCTAGTTATACATGCAACTAGTTAGCAAGCCTGGTCTGTTTTTCTGTTACTTTATGTTCTATTCGCAGCTTTGCCAAGAAATGTCTCTGTTGGTTCAAAATACACTAAACATCTATTAATCAGTATTGTTAACGTAACTAAAAACATTATGTTTAATAAAAGGTTTGTCAAAAAGAGCTGAATATTAAAAAAAAACAACAACGTTAAAATCATATTTTTGTTGACACTCTCAGCTCTTAGCGTGACTTCTCAGTTTTATTTTCTGTATTCATTTCAATCCTGATCATATCTATTACACATAAAAAAAATAAATAAATAAAAATTAAGTGAAATGTGTAATTGAGCACGTATGACAGCGGCTTGACTCATAGAAAGATTGTAAGTTAGTTAATCTGATTGTGTAACTGTAACTTGTGTACTGTCAACTATTCACCCCAATGACTTTGCATTCTCTTTTTGCTTCATCGTTTCCCAGAGATTTGATTAAAGGCCTATATTTACATATTACATATGAAAATAAAGGCTTTCTATTCGATTCTATATTCTGATCTATGTTCTAATGTAGTTTCTTCATTACAAACAGACTTGGAGTTGTGTTTTGTTTCATTCACACACAAGCCCGGTACATTTAGGCTGAGTTCTTTTATAATTATAATCATTTCAGAGCTGGAATTGACATCACAAGGTGGAACAGAGCTTTGAAAATGTAGACAGACTAATAATAAAGAGTTACTCAAACATGTATGAATGAAACAAACACAACTCCAGCTCTGTTTTTGTGAGGAGGTAACAACATCATAACATGGCTTTAAGCTCACAAGAGTAGGGTGGAACAAATAATAATAATAATTATTATTATTGTTTTATTAATTTAATCTAATCTCTTCAAATTTGTTGAGTTAAATGTCGTGAGTGCCTGTTTAATCTTTACTCAGTTATTTGACCAGTGTAGTCTCTTTTATAAGTTTATAATAATAGAATGAGCAACAAAATCTTGTAATATACCAATATACACTTCAAAAGTTTGGACACACTGCCTCTTGAATGTACTTTTATATATATATATATATATTGCTGTAACTTTAAGAGTATTTCTGTTATATAGTACCACTGAGGATGAGTAACCACTGAAAAGTTTTAATATTTTATTTTGAAATTGCTATGGCTATGGTCCTAACCTTTTTTTTTTTTTTTTTTTGATACAATGTGAGAATCAAAATATGTTTATTGACTATCACTTTCATTTTGATATGATCATGTGATTTTAACTGATAATTTACCTACTCCATGTTACTGCTTTATCTGGAAGGTTCCACAGTATGGCATTAAACTCTTTTGCATTGTGTCATATTGTTTCAAAATCCCTTGAAAACCATCCATTCTTCATGTGAGTGTGGTCGCCCCTCCACAGATCTGACTGGAAACTTGACTCTATAGTCTCTGGAGATTTGCTTTTACAGACGTCATGACACTTGTTGGCACCAACAACATAAGAGCACAACAGACAATGGACAAAAAACATGAAGGCAGTTGCTCTGTGAGGGATTTAATTTTAATGCCATATTGTGAAACATTACAGGTAAGTTCATAACATCTCTGTGGACAAGTGGGAGAGCCTCCACTACAAAAGTGACATAGGGCACCTTTAATTAAGCTCAAAAAGGGCTAGGTGATGATTTATTTTTTTATCCAGGCTCAGTTATCTTCAGTATTTTACTATGGATTGGATTTGCATTTGGTTAAGAGAAATTCCAAATTAGAACTGAAACGACTAATGTGATGATTTCTTACTGAAATACAAATCTACACAGGGTGATTGTGATGGTCCCTTTGTATCCGAAGTGAAATGTCTTCTATGTTTTGTTGTTTTGTTGACAGTGGATTTTCTAGTCCTCTTCCTTGTTCTGTGGAGTCGTCCATCAAACAGACAATATGAACGTGTTTGAACGCAACATCAACTTTGATGCTCTCTTCAAGTTCTCCCAAATGTGAGTGTTAATCATGGGATTCACATTATTCAGATTTGAGTCCATGCTTAGTCCTGTTTCATGTCCTTTGGTCCCTGTTTATAGAATTTATAGAATTTTTAGTCTTTGGTCTAGGTCCTGGTTTAGGTCTTTTTTATTTGTTTATTTATTTATTTATTTTTTCTTGTTTCAGTCTTAGTTTAAACATTGGTTAGGTTTGGTCCTGGTTTAGTCTGGCTTTAGTCCCTAGTTTTGTCCTGGTGTAGATAAAGCTATAAAAATGATTTACACCTGGTTTAGTTCTGTTCTGGTTTAGTCTTTGTCATTTTAGTTGTTTTTTCCTGTTTCAGTCTCAGTTTAGACATTAGTTAGAACTGGTTTAGTCCCTGGTTTAGTCCCTGGTTAAGTCCTGGTTTAGTCTTGCTTTAGTCCCTAGTTTAGTCCTGGCTAGCTAGGAAAATAGTTCCTAGTTTTGTCCTACTTTAGTCCTACTTTAGTCCTACTTTAGTCGTGGTGTGGTCCTGGTGTGGTCCTGGTTTAGTCCTCAGTGAATATATGACATACTAAAAATCCATTAGATTTAGATATTTGAGATCTTGTTGCGTTGTATTTCACTGCAGGCAAAGGTTATGGTGAGGCTGAATAAATATAGAATGATAATTATGAAGAGGTGTGCCAGAATTTCAGTTTAATCGTGACTAAATCTGGTGACACAGTATCTGTATCGTGGGCTTCTGTATTCATATATGTTGCCAAGACTGTTGTTGGTGTGCTGTTTATGGAAACTTGTTTATGCAAAATCTCTTTCTCTCTCTTCCCTTCCTCCTCTCTTTGTTTTTTCTCCTCTCTCAGCTCTCACTCGACACAGTTGCACCTGAAGAATGTGTACTCGAGTTTGGCCGTGTGTATGTTTGTGGCGGCCGCCGGCTCTTACGTCCATGTGGTCACCAGGCTCTTCCAAGTAGGTGGCGTGGCAAAAGCTCTCAAAACTATTCTGGATCTCTGTGCGTCTCACCCAGATTGCACTCACAAGACTTCACCTGTGGGAGGAGTTCATGCAAAATCTAATATTTATGAAGAAAAAAGTACTAGGACACAATGTATTTATATAAAGGCAGATTAAATTTGTGAATTATGAGTTGAATCTGACTTTTTAAATGTAAATCCCCAAAAAAGTACCAAATCTTCCAAAGTTCACTCACTTCTTTCTGCTGTTGTCCCATAGGAATTCTTATCACCTAAATAAAATGATTGGACAACTAATTTGGGCAAATGATTAACTAAGCAACTAAAGGACTGCAGCCCTACTATAGATGATACTAAATGTGTCTTATGCTTGCTCCCATATTTATTACACTGTTTCATCATCACAGACAGACCAGGAGCTGTGTTTTTTCACTAATACTGTATGTTTCCTAATCTCTGTCCTTGTGTCTGTGATAACATTTTAAGTCTCACATACTTTCATTATGAGGCTGACTTCCTTTGACTTTTTCTTTCTCTTTTGAGCTAGTGTTTTTTATTTTTTTGTTATTGTTTTTCATGACTCATTTCTTGAACATTTAAACAAAAAAATAATTCTTAATTTTTTAGTAAGTCTTAATTTTTCCTGAAGTGAAATAGACAAATTTCTTCTCTGGCACTCGACTGCATCTGTCAGCCCCAGGATCCAAAATGATTATTGACTTAGAGGTGATTCAATCTCAGTCTTCTTCTATAATGTGATATAGCATAGCCCTTTTTCTGCCTTTGTCTCTCTTCAGGGTGGTCTGCTGTTGCCTCTGGGCTCTCTGGCTCTGATGGTGTGGCTCGCCATGACTCCTCACAGCCCCGAGACGGAGAAAAAGAGACTGGGCATCCTCGCGGGCTTCGCCTTCCTCACAGGTAACGCATTTAAAGTAACACACACACTCCCTCCTGAGTGATGGTCAGGGCCCTGGTCACTCTCTCACACAGAGGCGTGTGTTGTTGACCCTCTATACCATTGTTTCCCAAAGACTGGGTCACGACCCTCAGGTGTATTGCAAGAGATTTTTTTTGGGGTCGCCTTGTCACTATCTGCATGTCAGTCTGCAGTTTACAGTTCTGACATTGACGTACATGTTGTGCTCTCCTCCTGCACCCGGACTGGAACACGCTACAAAAACACAGACAGGCCCACCTATCTGATTTAGAAATGTTAAGACATGTTTTGTATAATTTCTAATCTTTTTGTAATTATTTTATTGACTATTTTGTTCCAGTATTGCTGGTTCAATTGAATGTTGAAAAGAAAAAGAAATGGGCTACATATAATGTCCAAATAGGCGACTTATGGATCCTTTTATTGCTGCTTCAGTGACGGTTTAAGTAATACCGATAATTGTTCAGAGAGACATGATCAGTCAGTCAACAATAAAATATCTTCTTTAATGTTCAGTAATGCTTAGATCCACCTTTATTTTGTGATTTATGAATAATGTCTGTTGCCTTGGGTCGTGAAGGTTTGTGACTTTTAAAATATGAGCCCCCAGAAAAAAAAAAAAAAAGTTCAGGAAACACTGTTTTATACAATAATAATGTTTGATTTGGACATGACATATTTCTCTAGTACTTGAGTACTTTAGTGAGTGTTAGTCCAGTGAGGTTCATTTGGTCTTCTGATAATTTATGTTGTTAGGTTCTTTTATTTGTTTTCATACCTGACAGTTTGAACTGCTCCCTGCACTTTTCCTCAAAGTCACGTGATGTTGCTGTGACATGTCCAGTTAGCTGATTTCTATAGGTTTTGGCGCTGTCTTCCTACTGGTGGAGGCGGGACGACAGCGCCACCTGCAGTCTGACTCCTCAGGACAGTATCCCAGGTGTGTGAGAGGAAAAAAAGCCTTGTGGGCCCGTTTTTATATTCTGATTGCCTCTTTAATTCAGTGATGGTGTTTGTTGTCCTCCGTCAATGTCCATAATGTGCTTTTGTTAACAATTTCTTGGTCTGAAAAAAGAACCTCATAACATACTTTAGTGGATGTTTGATGATGAAGAGGCTGGTTTGGTGCAGTGCCTTGTACAGTAAGACTATGGAACTTTCACTTCCTAACAGTAACAGTAGCTCTAATCTATAATAGTAAGTCTTGTGTATTTGAATATTTGCCTCTTTTAGTGTCAGTGAGCGTTCCCCTGTTCTACCCAGTGTATATCACTATCACCATTGTATTACGTCACAAATGTACTGCCAATGTATATGGACTAAACGTGTTCTTTTTACAGGTCTTGGTCTTGGTCCCACTCTGGATTTCGTGATTGCTGTCAATCCAAGGTTTGTGTGCACTCACTGCATACATGCTTACATACATATATGTGTTTCCTGCAGTATCAGTAGAATGCTTATAGTAACTCTAAGACTCCTGTGTATTGTATCCTTATCGTGACTGTAAATGGTCTTTCTCCACAGCATCATTGTGACTGCGTTCCTGGGCACCTCAGTGATCTTCATCTGTTTTACTCTGAGCGCTCTGTACGCCCGGCGCCGCAGCTACCTGTTCCTCGGAGGTAAAACACACATTATACACTACATATAAACAAAAGGATGATAAGAGGCAGTGCAAGTCAGGATTTAAGCATTTCAAGGTCAGGGAGAGAATAACAAATATAATGACAGGACTGAAAAACACTAGGCTTTTTCCTGAATCAGTCAATGATGTACTACATTTTGTTAAGCATGATTTAGATTTTCTATTAATTTCTCTTTTAATTTGTCTTTTTATAACAAACAATAATTGGTTTTAATTGGCCTGGTTAGAACTTGGAAGGCACACATTTGGAATACCACGTGCCACAGTGCATCTAGAGTGCAAACTGTAATGGTGCCCTTAAAAGGTCATTGCCTAGTATGAAAGAAGAGTGTGTGAATGTTGGTGGTGGCTGGAGGGGCCTATGGCACAGGTTGGCAGCTTTGCTTCTGCCAGTCTGCCCCAGGGCAGCTGTGGCTACAATATTAACTTGCCATCCCATCAGAGTGTGCAGCGAATGAATAAAGAATAAAATTGTTAAGAAGTGCTATTTAAGAAAAACATATTCTTCCCATTTAAGAAGCTTTGTATTAACTCTTCTGTGTCTTGTGTGTCCCTCAGGCACTCTGATGTCCAGCCTCTCTCTGCTCTGTGTCCTGTCTCTGGTCAACCTGTTCGTCGGCTCTGTCATGGTCTTTAAGGTCATTTAAACAAACAAATAAAAGGGACCTAGTATTGAGTGCAGAGTTTGACATTTATGTCTCTGTGTATTCCCTTCATTAAAGCCTCTGTGTCTGTGTGTTTTAGATGAACTTGTACCTGGGGCTGCTGGTCATGTGTGGCTTCGTGCTGTTTGACACTCAGCTCATCATCGAGAAGGCCGAGAATGGAGACAAGGACTACGTCTGGTGAGTTCAGTCTAACTGAGCCTGACCTTTGCTGCTTTGTTTTTAGTTTAAATATAGAACTGGTCTGATCTGTTTCATCTGTCTCTCTGTTGTTCTTCTGTTCTTGTCTCAGGCACTGTGTGGACCTGTTCCTGGACTTCATCACCATCTTCAGGAAACTCATGATCATCCTCTCCATGAATGAGAAGGTATGGCTTATATTATAACATACTAGAGATTGGCTGATGTGTTTTTTTTTTTGTTTTGTTTTGTTTTTTTTCATGGCTGATGCCATGGGAAAAAAACATATCAGCGAAAATCAGCTTATCAGAGAAAAAGTGCAGTGTATTTAACATCTTTAATGCACCTGTTTAAAGTGGAGCCGGTTTATTCATCATGATACATACAAAGAGAGGATTATGCAAGTGTCACCTTTAAAAGTGATCTTTTGGGATCTGTCTTCTCAGCTCTTTGAGACAGATCAGTAAAGATAGTATGTAACTTTGTGGAGGGGACATGTCACCTTCTTGATTCTATGGAAATAAAAAGTTAAAAACCATTTAGAACATTCTCTATGGAGAAAAGTTTTATGCCATACTGTGGAATATTATAGCCAAAGGAACAATATTTCCATGGAAACAAGCAGGAGGAAGCCCTCCTACAGGCTAAATAAGAGTCAGGTTTGTGGAGATGCAAGCCTGTTCACTGTAAAGATGCATGTTTTTCACTGCAACAAAAACCTCCATAATGAAAAAAACATGCTTTTATTTCACTGATTTTTGACCAAAAACACACACTAAAAGAAGCGATACATGTGTGGGTTTATTTACACTTTGGGGTTTGAAAAAAATAGAATTTAAATTAATATATTCTTGAGTGTCTCATTTTGTACTTTTGTGTGTATTTTTCAGGACAAGAGAAAGGAGAAGAAGTAGACGTGTTTTAATAAACTCCAACAGGCACAATTCAAATTTCACTTTTTGTCTTTAAAACTGTTCTGGGTTTGTTCCAAGAAATAAACTAATCTTTGGTTTGAAACAGCAGCCAACCCGAATGTACGTTTACAAAAACTAGACTAACGCTGCAGTGACCATGCTCGGCCTCTAGAGGGGAGTGTAGATCAGTGCTTATGAAGATTTTCAGTTCAATTTAGTGCCATAGACTTCTGTTATAATTTAGTGAAGCAAAAACGAATATTTGTGAGTTAAAATAACTTAAACTCAAATCAGTTTTTTGTAGCTTTGACCAGATAAAGGCGCACTATAACTTTTCTGCCAGGAGTCCTCCATAAAGCTTTGCCTGAATGTTTCCCAATAAGGCATTAAACATACAGTATCTATCCAGCATTTATCCAATTATTGTTTTTTTTTTTTTTTGCTCAGCATTTATTCTTCGTGTGAGCAGGGTTGCCTCTTCACAGATCTGGCCTATAACTTGACCTGGTGGCTGCTTCTTCTTGTTTCCATGGAGATAAATAACATAATGCCGTACTGTGGAACATTCTAAGCAAAACAATATGGCACCAAGCGCCAAAAACACAGTTGTGTACCTTTTAAGATTTTTGACATGCCATTTTGATTTCCATTTGAATTTATAATTTTAGTTTCAAGTAACAAAATGACGCTGTAAATGTGACCTTCTAGTTTATTTTTTGATGCAGTCGTTTTGCCTTGGAATAAAAATCAGATATAAAGGTTATGCAGAAGAAACCCAACCTTATTATCCCAACCGTTCTTAGTGAGTGGCACAGGTATATGTCTATGGTGAGTGATGGAATTTTCTTCTGTAAAAGCTCAAGACACGTGTAAAATTTGAAAGAGCTGCTGCAGTTTAATGATACATACAATTCTGCAAAATAATGACTTTATAGCTGATACCTTAAACAAGAAATTCAAGTTGACAGTAGAAAAGCACAGGGGCACTGCAGACTACAACATATTTGTCACTGATACAGACTTTGAATCAGATACTGTTGAAACAAATCTTTCTCTCCTTAAATCTCATGTTTGAGTGATGAGAAAATAATTATTGTGGGACAAAAACAACAGCTCCACAGACACAAATAAGACGGTAAAAAGCAAAGAAACACCTTTTGACTGCTCAGTGCCACTCACAGCATAACCTTTTATGTAGAAACCACAAACACATGGAAACAAGTGAAGCCATTGAATCTTGATTAGTATGAATGTTACTCAAACTAGTCAAAACTACAAAAAAAGATCACTCAAGTCATTTTTAACCCAATCACATGTTTAGTTTTTGCTGTGTAATGATTTATCTGTAATATATTCTGCCTAATTTGTCTATTTATATAATTTTCTCAGTTCATTTTGGTGTGAGGAGAAAGTCCATGATTTAAAGCGGTGATTCTCAAACACAGGATAGCCAATACTCTAGTTCTAATGCATTATTTCTGATTTAAATTGTTATACTACTATTTTTGATTATTTTGAACTTAATATGTTTGTGTAAATGTTAGGAATACATGGAGTAGAATCTTCACATTGAACATTTTGTGCAAAAAACATTAAAATCCACTCTGTTTTGTTGAAATTTTGCGATTCATTTTGTAAACATATTTGGTTAACTTTTAAAATGATAAACTTCCCTTAAATTTCAATCATTAAACAGGCTTGAGTTGTAGCTTCAAACTTATAATTTAGCTTCTTTATCAACATTTTTTTTAAAGTTATATTTGCAAAATTGTGTGAACATTTGATCTGTCTCCCTCTTCACAGCTCAAAACTCCCAAGTCCCACCTTGTGATGTCACTAGGTGGTATCCAGGAAGTGCTCCAACTATGTTAAAAGTCCATAGTACACTATTATAAGGCCCATTCTAATAATTTAAACATTGGGGAAAAAAAACACTTATCATATCTACCTTAGCAATTCAAACTCTTAGTTCAGTCCTTAGTTCACCTGCAAGTGGAGTCTTTGCACCCTCTGCTGGTCTATTTTTGTATGAACCAGGACTTTAAATACATTTACATTAACAATTCAGACTTTTCTTGGGGGTTCACCACATGTTTGTCTTCATGTAAATATAACTGTTGAGCTTGGAATGTTCCGCAGCATGGCATTACACTTGTCAATATTTGTATTGATCTATAATAACAATGCAACGAACTGGTGGAGTCTCAATGAAAATGGATTTAATGCCTTACTGTGGGGTATTTCAGGGAACATGACAACATTTCCATGGAAACAAGCAGTGGAACCTTGAATAGAAAGGTTACACAGTGCATCTTTAAAAAAATACACAAAGTAGTATTAAACTTTGAGAACCGTATTTACTGAAGTTGGACACTGGTATGAAATGAACCACTGATCTGACCTGTACTGGACATTGTGAGGAGAGAGAGTGCATCTTATTTTGATCCATGTAAGTTGAAGAATTGTTTGTAGGATTTATTCGTTTTGCCAAATGATGTGAAGTTACCCCGTTTTTGGAAGTGTAAACTGTGAAAAACGTTATTTTGTTGTTGATGTCAAATTGAAAGTAATAATTTGATACATTTGCTCAAATAAATGTGTTGAACTCACTGGCTTTGTTGTGTTTTTGGTGTTGGTGGTACACTGTAATATGACCTTTAATTCAGAATATTTATCAGTTTTACATCAGTTCAGAACAGCTGAACCTTTTTATAAGATAAATTAAAGCCACAGTATGTAACTTTTTAAAGTCTATTTCAAAAAATAAAGCATGTTTTTTTTTCCCATTTTGCTTCTGTGTATAGCACTGAAAAACATGCATCCTTACATCCTCCTTTGACTAGAATATTCCACAGTATGGCATTAAACCCATCTAGCTCCTTGAAGTTGTTCTAAGGTATGGTTTTAACTTTCTATTTCTATGGAATCATACAGATGATGTGATGTGTGAATAAATTATTGAAAATAATATTACAGAAATTAATAACAAAAAATCAATTACAATGCACTTTTCCCAAGCAGGAGTTTCCACCAACCAGTCGAACCCATGAACAGCAGAAACAGAAATCCATGTGTTTGTATGGACTGACAACAGCTGGTATCTGACACGTCCCTCCAACAGTGACACTTCTGAAAAGCTCACAACAGCAGCCAAACATGGCAACAGGGTAAATCCATCTCCTAGCATACTGTCTTTAAAATAAACCAACATGTGAATGTACAAAGGAAGACAAAATGAACTTTTGAATTTGATACAGACTTAGTTCTATGGGAGATGTGCCTCTGTTAAAACCCTTCTTGTACTTTGTGTTTCACTGCTTTGAAACAGTAAAGACATGTTCTGCATTTCCTGAATCCTCAGACTCTACAGAGTCATTTCATATCACACACGTGAGTGTATCATGTGCCCAGAGCTTTCAGAGTAAACAGAAAACAGTTCAGGTGAAAATGGTACAAAAAAAGAGTGCTAATCAATTACCTTTGAAGCATTTATACTTTTCAGAGGCTGTTATCTGTGAAACTGCTGAAACTCTCCAAAGTCTATCACACTTCATTTTAAAGCTTAGATAAGGAACTTATCAAAAAATCAGACTATCTGAGAAATCCATTTATTTTCTCTCAACTTCAGGTTACAGGGGGGTGTATCGGCTACCTCATGTCTCCAAATAAGTTTAGTCTTTACCTGGAATTTTCCACATTGTGACATTAAACATATATATTTAACATTAATTCATTCACATTTATTTCTACCCTGTAAACAGAGGGTCGCCTCTTCACAGATCACACTTGTAACTTGCCCCGGTGGTATCACCTGCTTGTCTCCATGGAGACTGATCATTTGGATGCCTTGCTGCGGAGTATTCCAGGTTTGGAGACAAGCAGGTGGCAGATCCTTCACCACAAAAGTCCACACACACAGTGCACATTTAAAGTATGGCACACAGACTCTTGTGAGCTTTAAGCCCTGTTACAATCTGTTACAATCCTGTTACCTCCTCAAAAACACACCTGGACCTGTGTTTTCTTTCATTCACACATCTGCAGGAGTATTCCTGCATTTTTAGTTGGCCTACATCTCCAAACCTCAAAATGCTCTGTTCCACCTTGTGATTTTCAACATTTTCAACTTCACGGCTCCTTTTACGTTTAGTTCAGTGCCCAGTGTCACTGGACAAACTGCTCACCCACTGCACCAGACTATAGAGGGACAGATAATACTCCCTACTACTGTACAACAACTCACCCTTATGTAAAGGATAATACTCCCTACAACTGTCAATCATCAGATCATCTTTGCATTGTTTTTCCATACAACCTCTTAGCTGAGAATATTTTTATGACTTTATTTTTCTTTATTTTTCTTTGATTTTATTTTTACTTGTACATATGCGTTCATATAATGTTTTCTTTTTTGACATGGGTCTCTTGCAATGTTTGCTACATGTTTAGAATTTTGTATTAGCACTTCTCTTTTGGGATTATTACATTGTGATGTGTGAGTTACTGTGTCCAAGGAATTCCCCTTGTGGATCACCAAAGTTTGTCTAAGTCGAGTTCAGTAGAGACTGAGACTTTCAGGCCTGAAATTATAATAGATCATTCTAGTCAAAGTGTATGGACTTTAAAAACACACTGGAGCACATGACATCACAAGGTGGAGTCTCAACTCAGTCTAAATGTGCAGGTTTTGTGTGAGTCAAACAAAACACAACTCCAGCTTTGTTTTTCATCAGAAAACACCACAGCATCAGAAAATAGCACAGTATGGACCCTTCCAACTGCTTCACATTCACAATATCAGACGTGTTTCATCATCAGCTCACTTCTCATCCCACTGGTGCCTATGTTTAGCTCTAAATCAGCCAAATGCAGCCACACTGACTCAACTCAATGGTCCCACATGAACTGACAACTGGCTTTAATCCTGTTTCTATATAACGACAGGGGCCACTTTACAGAACGCTGCTTTTCACTTGACTTTTATTTCACACATTTTCACATTCTAACATCTGTTACACTGTCTTATGTTCTTCTGACTATTTCTCTTGACCCATGCAAACACCTTCAAACTAGTGCCTTGCCTCTTCACTTCTTTACACATTTCAGAGCCTCACCAAATGATTCATTTCTTCTGTAGGGGAGGTAGCTTCAGTGAAGCTCATTGTTTCCTCGCTCCAGTGCAAACTCATGGCGTTTCTAGTCCACACAGACTTATTCATGGACAATCAGAGTCTCTAAAGTCTAACCCTGGAAAAGACACGCTCCTCCATCACAAGAGGCCGCTGTCTGCCAACTCAAAGGCCTGCTGCCTATGTGCCGTTTGCTTGTTACTCTTGGATTCTTCTAAGACCACTCTCCGTTTGTGTAATAAGCCTAATTCTTCTGCAATCAAAAGCCTGAGGATAAGTTTAGGCCACAGGAGCTCACCAACTTCACCTGCAGCAGCCACCCCCTGAGCAGACAGCTCCAGAAGCAGCCTCTCCGTCCACACAAACACAGCTCTTTCTTTCTTTCTTTCTTTCCTTTTTTACAACAGTAAAGATACAGATTCTTCTTCTTCTTCTGGAAACATTGACCTTTTCATGACCTTGGGCGGGCCTATGGGCAGTTCAAGGTCATCGCTCTACCCACTAAGTGAGGCGTTGCTAACTTATCCTTCCCGCTAACTCCAGTGAGTGTTGTGGAGCAGGTGATTGTGCACTTGTGGGACTCGAAGCGCTCTCTCGGCGCCTGCCTGCGCTCTCTCGGCGCCTGCCTGCGCTCTCTCGGCGCCTGCCTGCGCTCTCTCGGCGCCTGCCTGCGCTCTCTCGGCGCCTGCCTGCGCTCTCTCGGCGCCTGCCTGCGCTCTCTCGGCGCCTGCAGCCGCGGGTCCGGGTGGCGCAGCACTTAACGCCCGCGACTGCGCCTCCAACCCAATGAAGACAAAAATGGATGAGTTGTATTTAAAGGTCACAGTCATGGTGCCACCTCCAGTTTTCCTTACAAAACACAGGGACAATGGAGATGCAAGAAAAGCATTTTCCTCCATTGGACTAAAGAAAGGTGTTTTTCACTCTAATCATAACTTTTGTGCAGTTTAGGCAAGTTTTGGCTCTTGTGAACATTAGGATTGCTGGGTAACAGTTATGAAATTGCCTCTGCTACCCAAAAAACAAAAGAGAGAAAAAGTAGAATAGAATAAACAGCAAGATTTGCAGGGGATCGATTTTGATGCGACACACTTTCCCCAGATGTCCTGCCGCAGCTGAGCCCCGGAGGAATGAGTGAGTGCAGCCACATCCTGAAGGTAAGACTTGTGCTGTCACTTTGTTTCAGAGCAGAGAGAGAGTCAGAATGGAATAAAACACACTGGTTTCAGGTGTATATTCCTGACTCTTTAAACATACAGTGATTTATGTGCTGATGTGTTTGACTTTAATCCCAACTATTGTGCAATTTCCACACGTTCTGGCCCTGGTTAAAATATGCCAGTAAATAAAATAATATGATGATGTGAACGATGTTAGTGAGGAGTCTAAACCTGTCATATACACTTGAAGTCTACTTAGACATACTGTGTATGGTTTTCAATCCAAAATGAAGAGCAGGACACACACAGGAGACTGCAGTGCCCATCTCACGCGACACGGTCAAAGACAGAGTCAGTGATGCGCTGATCTCATGTGGATGGTAGATTCTCCAGTTGCATATCACCTTAAACTTCATCCATACAACACAAAAGCAGCCAAAGGTTCTAATGGTCTCTTTAAGGTTACAGCACTGGAGCAGGGGATGTCCTCGGAGCACAGAGCACTGAGCCTATGAAGTGTCTCTGCTCTTTTTCTGCTCCTCCCCTTTTTTTACCAGAGGAGGGGAAAGTTGAAGATGAGAGCTGGTGCTGGTGCTGATGTTGTGGGACTGCTGCTGTATGTGGGCACTGGTGTCCTCAGGTGTGAGCCAACACACAGTCTGCACTGTTTGCTGGAACGACACTTTTGGGCACGTGTGTCAACTCGCCAGGAACGTAACATTTATGTTTCCTAGTGTGCACTGATGGAGCTCTTTGGGTATCTGTCCATCCACCTGATGCAGACCAACAGCAGGAAGAACAATTGAACAATCAAGACCTTAAAGTATTCTCATGGTTGGACCACCGCTGGCACAAGTTATTGTTGTGTAATTAGCATGTCTTAAAGCCACAAAGTGCTCATTTGGAGAGCGTCCAGTGCACATTTGAACTCTTGTACCTTCTCCCAGTTCCCCAAACTCAGCTCAGGAGCACTCCATCCTGTCCTCTGTTCTCACGGAGCAGCCAGCAATCCTATACAAATACCCATGGCATCTTTAAAAAAAAACTCCTTGCAGCAACAAAAAACTGATAAAAGACTATTTGAGAAATCCATTTCTTTTCTCTCAGCTTTAGGTTACATTTGAAACACCAGCCTCAGTCACATGACTTCTACTGGATAAAGTGTGAGAAATGTCATTTGCACATGTCATTGTTTCTGTTTGAAATGTGCACTCCTACAGCTGCAGGTCAAGTAGTGTGGTCAGTTTACAGAAAAGTCTCAAAATGTTCTCTGATGAAGGCTCTTTTCTCAAGGAGTCAAATAGTTGTTAACAAGAGCTC